TTCTGTGAGCCATCCTTGGAAATTAATCAAACCTTTAGATGGGGTAGTAGGAATGCCAATTTGGAGTCAGTAGGTCAGAAGTATAGGTGACAACCTACTACTTTTGAATGATAGCTGAAGTGAGCCGGGGCAGTCTTGTGAGACTGAGCCCTTAACCTGTGGGCAACCTGTGGGAGATGACTCTAACTCCAGGTAGATAGTGCCAGAATTAAATTGAATTATAAGGCAATCTAGCTGGTGTCTGCTGGAGAATTGTTTAGTGTGTAGGAGAAAACTCCCCAACACTGGCCACAGAAGAGTTCTGTGTTAAGTGTGAGAGTAGAGACAAAAAAGTTTGCTTTTTCCTTTATACCCAGCAATTACTAGGACTGTCATTCTCCAAAGAACATTATCCATCCTCTCCCCAAACTGCCTCCCCAGGACCTAGTGGACCTTTTTGACTGCAGAAAATATCCCTGTTCCACACTGAGTTTAAAGCATTTTGCCTCATAGCTCCCTGTGCCTGTTGCAGCAGACAGAGGTGGGGGAAAGTAATCACCACTGTCCTGGCAGTGAGAAAGTAACAGCTGTATCTTCCAAGGACAGTCCCAATTGAAATCTTTGTGCCGCAGGTCATTGTGATATCATATTCTCTAATTCTTTGAAAAATCTTCCCTAAGTCACCACCCTGCCATAGATCTACCACAGAAAACTCTCCCTAACGAAAGCCTTTTGTCACTAGAGTTTGAGGCCCTAACGTTCCCCTCCTAAACTGAGACAGGTTTACAAACTTCCATGGGGTCCACACCCTTCCCAGATACTCCACGGTGCTCCCCATATCCTGCTACGAAATCCCACATGCCCCAGCAACTCATAAACTCATGCTGACCTCATACATAAAAAGATACCCGAGGACTCAATGACCCAAGACGCCCTATTCCATTCATAATGACCCCACCCCTGAACACTGGCACCACCATCTACTAACACAGATGTCTCCAGTGATGCACATGCCCCAGTGAGATCCCAACATCTTCCAAGGAAACTCTCCACATTGACATTTAGATATTCTAAAATGCATCTATAACCATCTTAACTTGCAGCCCAAAATACTCCAAAATAACAAATGTTGCCGCCAAAGTGATAGACTCCACAGAAGTCACTATCGAGAATGCTTGGTGTGCTGCAGCTCTGGGTTCCACGCCCTCAGGACCAATGCACCACCTCTGCAGCTGCCCACCCTGCCCGTGGGCTCAGCTTAGGCCTTGATCCTCAATTCAGCTCACCCTCGAACAATATAGGTTTGGATTGTGTGACTTCACTTTTAATAGAATTTTCCTCCATAAACATCCTGAAGAATATTTTGGAGATTTGCAATATTTTGGCTATTATCAAATAGGCAAGAGATAACAGATGTTAGCAATGATGTGGAGAAAAATGAGCCCTTGTACACTGTTGCTGGGAGTGTATCTCAGTACAGCCATTATGAAAAACACTACAGACGTTCTTCAAAATATTAAAACTAGAACAACAATGCAATCCAGCAATCCCATTTCTGGGTATAAATCCAAAGGAAATCCAATCAGTATATTGAAAAGACATCTAGGCCAGGTGTGGTAGTTCATGCCTATAATACCAGCACTCTGAGAAGCTGAGATGGGAAGATTGCTTGAGACCAGGAGTTAGAGACCAGCTTGGACAAAACAGCAGGACCATGCCTCTACTTTAAAAAAAAAAAAAAAAAGGAACATCTGCCTCCTCATGGTCACTACAGTATTATTCACAACAGCCAAGATACAGAAACAACCAAAGTGCCCATCCATGAATGAATATGTAAAGAAAATATGTGTGTATATATATTTATGTATGTGTATATATAGTGTGTGTGTGTGTACATTTACATAATGGAATATTATTCAACCATAAAAAAGAAAATCCTGCTATTTCCAACAACATGGATGACTCTGGAGGACATTATGCTGGGCGGTATCAGACTGACACAGAAAGATAACTACTGTATGTTCTCACAAGTAGAATCTAAAAAAGTCCAATTCATAGTAACAGAACAGAACAGTTGTTACCACAGGATGGTGGGTGGGGAAAGTGGAGAAATGTTGGTCAAAGGGTACAAATTCTCAGTTATAAAATGAAGAAGTTCTGGCTGGGCGCAGTGGCTCACACTCGTAATCCCAGCACTTCAGGAGGCTGAGGCAGGCGGATCACGAGGTCAGGAGATCCAGACCATCCTGGCTAACATGGTGAAACCCTGTCTCTACCAAAAATACAAAAAATTAGCCAGGCGTGGTGGAGGGGGCCTGTAGTCCCAGCTACTCCGGAGGCTGAGGCAGGAGAATGGCGTGAACCGGGCGGCGGAGCTTGCAGTGAGCTGAGAGTGCCACTGCACTCCAGCCTGGGCGACAGAGTGAGACTCCAAAACAAAACAAAACAAGACAAAACAAACAAACAAACAAACAAAAAAATGAATAAGTTCTGAGGAATCTAATGTACTCTGTGGTGAGTATACCGTACTGGACACTTCAACAGTTTGGAAAGTTTTTGAAAAATCTAATAAATTGTGTGGTAAAAGTAAAAAAAAAAAAAAAAAGCAATATTTAGAAATTAATGACATCAGCTGATTACAGGATGACATCAAATCTTATTTCAGAAGTTAGTAATTATAGAAGAAACTGAATAAACTAAAATTTAAATCAAGCTTCCAAAATAACAATGAATTAACTGCAAAGCAACTACAAGGAAAAAGGTAAATCCATTAACAAAACAAAAAACAAACACTCTCAACCCTCCTTCAAAGGCATACATTGTAAGCCTGGAGAGGTGGTTCACACATGTAATCCCAGCACCTTCAGGGGCTGAGAAGGAAGAACTGCTTGAGCCCAGGAGGTCGAGGCTGCAGTAAGAGGATATAATGCTACTATACTCCAGCCTGGGCCACAGAGAGAGACCCTGTCTCAAAAAGAGAAAAAACAAACAAAAAACCCAAAGCTCTATCTTGTAGTGACAGTCAGTCATTTCTTGCCTATTTCTCCCCTCCTCCATCCTCTACTCCATCCCTGGAAAGAAGAGTTACAAAATGACTGAATCAAGTCACTCCCCTGTGGCTAAATAGGGATTTCAAATATCTTTTGATACAAATAAATACAAAATGCACAAGCCTTATAGAAAAGAGTGGTAATTTTCATCCTCATGAGTACAATTTAAAGAAACAAATTTTAAATTAGAATATAAAGTCACAAATCAATATATTAAAACAACCATCCATATCCAAGCAACTCGTGGCTCATCAGGATGGGGTCCTCTCCCACTCTCTTCACTGCTATGTGTTTCCCTCTCTCATGCTGCAGGTGTCTTTTTTCCCCTTTTCTGTTGTTCTCCCCTTTCTTTATTCCCTCTTTTATGTCTGTTCTGCCCAGTGCTTCGAAACTTGTTTCACCTCTTGTTGCTCTTTCTCCCCAAACTTTCCCATGGTCCCCAAATGGGGAAAAAAAAGACCCTCTCACATTGTTTTACATTGTTTTATACTCAGTACCTGTTTTAAGAAAAAAACAAGGAAGTAAAACCAAAGACAGGCAGCCCCGCGCCAGGCCCAAAACCAGGCCTGGGCCTGCCTGGCCTAAACCCAGTAGTTAAAAATCAACTCATAACTTAGAAACCGATGTTATTCATAGACTCCTGACACTGTATAGAAGATCACTGTGAAACTCCCTGCCCTGTTCTGTTTCTGACTACCAGTGCACGAAACCCCGTCACGTATCCCCTAGATTGCTCAATCACGATGCTTTCATATGAAATCTTTAGTGTTCTGAGCCCTTAAAAGGGACAGAAATTGTGCAGTCGGGGAGCTCGGATTTTAAGGCAGTAGCTTGCCCATGCTCCCAGCTGAATGAAGCCCTTCCTTCCACCACTCGATGTCTGAGCGGTTTTGTCAGCGGCTCCTCCTGCCACACCCAGCCTCTTTCCCCCCATCTGAGCTCCCTGTCTGCTCTCCCTGTTAAAATCCCTCTTCCCTGTTAAATTCCCTCTTCCCTGTTACATCTCCTTTGTTCCCACTCTCTAGCACCCCCAACTTCCTAGGCTTCCTCGCTGATGTGGTTCTCCGTCTACTCTTCCTTTGTTACCCACTCCCCTCTCCTTCAGTCCCAGCACCACGTGGCTGTGTCAGCCCCGGCTCCAACTCTCTTACCTTTTCCAGCCCCCGCCCCCTTCTCCGCCCCCAGTCTGGCGGCAGTGTCTCCTCCTTTGCCGTCCCTCTCTATTTTGCTGCCCTTCATCTCCCTGAAGGTCTCCCTTTTCCCTAATTTCTTTATGTGCTTTTCTCCCCGTGCTACTTTCTCCATGCGTCCTCTTTCACTCTTGCTCTCTTTGCAAGTCCCTAAATTATCATCCTTTATGCCGTATACGCATTCTTTTCTCCCCAGTTTTTCTTTCTGTCCCGTCACTCCCCCTCTTTTCCTCTCCTGATCCCTCTCACCCAACATTCAGGAGGAAAGGGGAGGAATAAGATGCCCACCTCCCGGAAGAGCACATTTTCCAGTGGAGTAAAAATTTGGGAGGGAACAACAGTGGGTGTCACAAGACAGACTCGATGACCTCCCGCAACACGGAGTCAGGAAAAGCGGTGGCTGTGAAGGGGAAGCCTGGAGAGCGGAAGGACCCGGCGTGAGGAGCACACTAGGTGGCGCGGAGGACGGTGTCTCCGGACAGAGGGTCTGCAGAATCCCAGGACCTGGGAGGAGAAGCGCCTCCTTCAGGAGCTGGGCAGCGGGCGCTCCCCTCCAGGGGCCGACAACGACAAAGCTCGGGGGTCTCGACTGGTGGGAATCCACCTTGCGAGGGAGCACTTGACTTGGCCCGAGGCCGAAGCAGAGGTCAATAAGGGTTTTAAGCAGGAACACGACCTGAATGGGGTTATCTACATGGTTATCTACCTGGCATAAAGGCAGGGAGCAAGGAACAGCTTGAGAGAGATTTTAAACCGAAAGGGAAGCAATTCTCGGACTTACGTGGGGAGAAGTGGCTGTTGCAGGGGCGAAGGGGCTATGGATATTTTAAGGTCCGTAGCGATCCCCAGATCACTGGTATGGAGAAGTGATGACTGCGAAGTGCACGTTTAATCCAGGAAGACGGAGCGAAGCAATGTTTAATCCACGTAGACGGAAACACACACCGCGGTAAGGCCTCTCCCTGGCGCAATCTACTTCCGGGAGTGACGGAAACTGCTAGCGGAGAGAAAAAACTGGGAGGCCAGGGGACCGAGCCTGGGCAAGCCTCTGTTGGCAAGGGGCGGGTCGGAAAGAGGGCCCTACCTCGGGGAGGGACCATGAGAAGGTGGAGCCAGGAGGCGGCGGCAGTGGGCGTGGCTAGGTGGGGCGTGACGGAGCCGCGGCGGAGGATGGGGTGGGGTTTCATGGGGTAAGTGGGACCGAGATAGAGCCTGTTATTTACTCTGCTTCACAGGCAGCATGTCTGGTTTTCTGCCTACTTCTTGTCCTGTGAAGCAGCGTTGCTTCCTGCCTATTTTAAGTTAATGTTTCAGAATTTAAGGTTAAAGCTTAAAGTTGTGGTCCACTTATATTGGAAGCTAAGATGATTTCTTCTTAACAAGTTGAAGTGATTTAAGTCAAAACCGATTTTTACAATCTCGGTGGACTCCATCCACTCTTGCCAGTGACGCTGAAGCTACTCAGTAGTCAGGGAACTAGGATCTCGCTGGGGATTTGATGTGGAGCCCTGGCTGGATCCAGGAACCCGGGAGACATTATGCCAAGCGAAATATGCTAGACACAGAAAGACAAATACTGCATGTGCTTTTACACGTGCAAAGTACAAACGTCAAATTCACAGCGACGGATTAGAAGGATGGTTACCCGGGTTGGGGGATGTATCCTATGCCTTTATCACCATTGTATTTTGGAAGCAGATAACTTCTCTGGCCTCATAGATTCACAACTGGGCAGAAATTTTGCCTCACGATGAATCACACCTTGATCCTCACCCATGTGTGGTTCAGATAATATTTAAGGGGTATTCTGGCCTAAGAGCTGATATAGGAATGGATAAAGACTTTTGAGAGTTGATACTGAAATAGATTAAGTCTTTTGAGATGGACCAGGTGCACTGGCTCAGGCTTGTAATCCCAGCAGTTTTGGAGGCCCAGGTGGGAAGATCACTTGAGCTCAAGAGTTCAAAACCAGCCTGGGCAGCATAGTGAGACCCTCATCTCTACAAGAAATACAAAAATTAGCCAGGCTTGGTAATGCACTCTTGTAGTCCCAGCTACTCGGCAAGCTGAGGTGTCAGAATTACTTGAGGCCAGGGATTTGAGATCATCCTGGGCAATATAGCCAGACCCTATCTCTACAAAAAATTAAATTATCTAGACATGGTGGCCTGCACGTGTGGGCCCAGCAACTTAGGAGGGTAAGGAAGGAGGATCACTTGAGCACAGGAGGTCGAGGCTGCAGTGAGCCATGATCACGCCACCGCACTGCAGCCTGTGTGACAGAGAGAGACCCTGTCTCAAAAAAAAAAAAAAAAAAAGATTTTCATTGGGATGAGGGTGAAGAGACCTTGCATGTAAGAAGCACATAAGTTTTGGGAGTCCAGAGCACAGAGTGTTATGAGCAGAATCATGTCCGCAGAAAACCATATCTTGAAGTCTAACACCCACTACCTCAGAATATGACTGTATTTAAATATAGGGCATTTAAAGAGGTGATTAGGTTAAAATAAGCTTGTTAGAGTGTGCTGTGATCCTACTGACTGACTTCCTTATGAGAAAAGGAGATTTGGTTGGGTGCAGTGGCTCATGCCTATAATCACCACACTTTGGCAGGCCAAGGTAGCAGGGAGCTAACTTGCATTCTTCTGTTAGCTGAGGCATTTGATGATAAGTGAAAGCAGAAAGTTTGTGAGTTATTTACATTCTTTCCACAGAAAGGCGATATGTCCTTGGCCATAAAGAAAAAGAGAACTACAGCTTATCTGCTTCCTCTATTTTGTTCATATGTCCTGGACCATGAAGAAAGACAGATTTATAGCTTATTTGCTTTATCTCTTTGCTTTCTCCTGGTCCTTTCAGGCTGACTCCTTTTCCCCAATTAGGGCTCCACAGACTCTACCCTAAAAGGGCATTTTTTTCTCACCCTCCCACAAATAAACCAGGATCCTATTTCCCAGCATGAAAAGTTTGTCAGAAAAAAAACTGCAGCTGCATGGGACCTTCTTTCTCTTCTTCAAAACTACTTCACCTCTTCTCTCTCCTGTCTCTCTCTTCCTAGACTGCCCTGCACAATTCTAGGTCCCCAGTGAATCCTTCGGTTGACATGCAAGGGAAGAACCCATAGGGAAAGGAAATCTCTGGCTCTCAGAGGTAACTTTTTGGATGTCTGGATGCATTCATAACCATCCCTGTGTTACCAGAAAGGGGTCCTGATCCAGAACCTGAAACTGCCATTGCACAATTATAACTGAGAAAAGTATTACAGTGAAAGAGATCTGACCTAATCAACTCCATCTTGCTTTTAACCTCTAAGCTGCCCTTGTTCATTCCTGGGCATAGGCTGAATTAACTTTGGGAGGAACTTAGTTTATAGTTTGAATCATAGACATTAACAGCCCTTTCCCAAAACAAACCCCCTTGCTGCTTGGGGACTAGACTGCCTTTGTAAGACTAACGAATTAGGCACAAGGTGAGAGATAGTAGTTTAGGAGTCACGTAGCTGGAGGCTACAAGATTCTCACCCTTCCCAAATTGTTCTTGGGGATAACATTACTATTATAAAACCTAAGCTCAGTGCTTGAGATATTTTGCAGATCCTGAACTTGATGGCTCACCTGACACCAACCCAGATCCATAAACTGGCTCATCTGGTCTTGTGACCCTACCTAGGAACTGACTCAGTGCAAAATGACAGCTTCAGATCTCTATGATTTCATCTCCTACCCAACCAACCAGCACTCCCGACTCACTGACCCCTACCCATCAAATTATCCTTAAAAACCCTGATCCCCGAGTTTTCAGGGAGACTCATTTGAGTAATAAAAAAATTTCAGGTTCCTGTACAGCCAACTTCACGTGAATTAAACTCTCCATTGCAATTCCCCTGTCTTGATGAATCGACTCTGTCTAGGCAGCAGGGAAGGAGAACCTGTTGGGGAGTTACAACCAAAAGGGAGGGTTCTTGGATCTCATGCAAGAAAGAATTAGGGGTGAGTTCACATTGTAAAGTGACAGCAAGTTTACTAAGCAAGTAAAGGAATAAGGCAGGGTGCGGTAGCTCACGCCTATAATCCCAGCACATTGAGAGAGGCTGAGGTGGGCAGATTGCTTGAACCCAGGAGTTCGAGAGCAACCTGGGCAACAAGACAAAACTCCATCTCTACAAAAAACACAAAAATTCGCCAAGGGTAATGGTGTGCCCCTGTAGTTCAAGTCCAAGCTAGTTGGAAGGCTGAGGTTGGAAATTGCTTGAGCCTGGGAGGTGGATGCTGCAATGAGCCTAGATGGCGTTACTGCATTACTGCTTAGGTGATAGAGCCAGACACTGCCTCAAAAAAAAAAAAAAGTGAACTCAGATTCTTTAATTCAACACTGAATGTTTACTCTTGTAACTCATGCCTAGGTTGAGAAAGACTCAATTTTCCTCATGCTAAATACTTTATACATGTCCTTTCTTCATGCATACATAGGACACTTTACACAATATAATTGTTGAAAGTGCTTCTGAAATACTATTTAGACAAATTGTCTATAATATTTTTACACCTGCACTATAAAATTAATATTTATCAGACAATAAATATTAAATAGTTTAATAAAAGATGCATTTTCAAAGGTTCTAACAATGCATGTTTGAGGTTATCATAATAAACACTGTATTCTATGACTTCTCAACTGTAATATAATTTTTTTTTGAGAGGGGATCTTGCTCTGTTGCCCAGGTTGCAGTGCGGTGGTGCAATCACGGCTCATGTAGCCTCCACCTCCCTAGGCTTAAGTGATCCTCTCACCTCAGTTTTTGTATTTTTAGTAGAGATGGGGTTTCATCATGTTGCCTAGGCTGGTCTCAAACTTCTGGGCTCAGGCAATCTATCCACTTCAGCCTCCCAAAGTGCTAGGAATACAGGCATGAGCCACAGAGTCCAGCCAAAACTACATTTTAAAAATAATTTTTTAATCATTATACACTCTGCTAGAAACCATTTAACCCAATGTATGGACTTACATTTCTTCCACTGAAGAACGTGAAGGATCCCTAAATCAAGGCGGCATTCTCAGATTTGTGTGGCAAAAAAAGTATAGAGAAATGATAGATGCAAAGAATGTGTTCTGCCAATATGTGGAGGATCCCTTTTATTTTAAGTTCAGTGAAAGCATTGGAATGATACAAGAAAATAAACTGAAATTGTATAATGTGGAAACGAGCTCTGTTGCTAATGTGCAAGTTTATCACTGAGATTTTAAAAACACAACATGCTAATTATACCTTAAAATATGCTTCTCCCAGTCTGGGCAACATGGCGAAACCCCATCTCTACAAAAAAATTCAAAAATTAGCTCCGTATGGTGATGTACACCTGTAGTCCCAGCTACTTGGGAGGCTGAGGGAGGAGGATCACCTGAGCCCAGGAGGTGGAGGTTGCGGTGAGCTGAGATCGCACCACTACACTCCAGCCTGGGTGACTGAGCCAGACCCTGTCTTGAAATATTACAATATGTGACAGTGCAGCTTCCATCAGAAATAATTTGTTCCTCTTTGCCCACACATAATATTCACCTCCACGTCCTCAAAAAAATTTTTTAAAAGCCCAAACATAACTTTCAGTTGCAGGCTGGGATCCATGATAGTCTCATGAAACGTCTGTTCATTGAAAGCCCAGTAGAGTCCTCGTCGCTCACAACATTTCATGGTGGAACAGAAAAATAAAACCTGAATTAACCCTCACATTCAGAAAAGAAAAACAAAGAAGGTACCCAGTAGTTTCTGGTCCATAGCAAATGTGCAATTTTGCTGAGAAGATGAGTTAGGGCCTGGTTCCAGGAGGTCAAGAATGAACAACAATACTTTTCATGGCTACAGTTCTCCTGAGAATAGGTTTCCAGTCCATTATATTTTGTTGTTCTTGACTTCACCCGATGACACCCCTCATGCAGTATCAGAAAGTACGCCCTCCTTCTGCAGTAAGCAGCTTCCCCCAGCTACTTC